GACACAATAAGGGAAAAGAAGGAAAAAGAAAGAGTAATTATTTAGAAATGTAAATAAATGTATAAAAATATAAAAAATAAATATAACAATATATATAAATATAATAAATAAAATTTCTAACATACTCCATCCAGGACGAATACTTTGCCAGTATCCCAACATGAGTTCAACACCCCCATGTAAGAATCGTCGATTATTTTCCTCTGGTTTTGGAAAGATTGCTTTCCTACCTAAAGTTAAATGTTGAGTACGAACCTTGGAATTGAGGAACGCGTTAAGAATAATTAAGATGTTTTGAATAGTTCCATCCCAAGGTTGATCACTATTTTCTTTAATATATTCTCTCATTTCTCTGAGATCAAAAGGACGAGAATATTTAAGAGTGGCATAAAAACGTTTTGGACGACCAACGTCATCTTGAGTCGGAATTTGGACCTAAAGAACAATGAAATTCCGATAGAAAGGGGAGTTATAATATAGATCACGAATTAGAAGAAAATCAAACAAATTAAAATTATACCTCATATTTCTTAGTCTTAGTACCATTACAAAGATCAGTAACAGAATATACTAGGTTTCCATCATATGCAGGTGAAACTCTTTCACCAAATTTTTTTTCTTTGCACATTTGAAGAAAGACAGCTTCTGAATCTTTTTTATTTGCTTGTTGTCTCGTTTGTTGATTAGTAACCTCTAAAGAATATGCTTGAACTTGCGGGTATTGGAACTATATGTGAATCAGTAAGTATTTATTAGCCTTCCAGAAGAAAGAACCCAGTTTTACACGTATATATTACCTTTGTGATAGGTAGGAAGTTTGCCATTACTTGTACAGGCCTACCTTTAGTAGGCTTCTCTTGAGGCCTTTTCGCGACTGGGATCGTTGACATTTGTAAAGTCTAATTCCTTAAAGTAGATAGAATTCTATCAATTTGATCTTAACACAGCCTTTCGTCATTTACAAACTTTATAATATTGTAATATATACCTTTTAATGACGCGATAAAAAAAAAGAAAAAATGGTACTATCGTAATAAATTAATTTTTGGTTGCAAAAGACTCGTAATATAAATAGAAATAGAATTGGGGGAATTTAAAAACGGCTTAAAAAAGCTCTAAGTTAAAAAGAATTGCTAATATATAAATTTGGACGCTATTAATTGGCAAAACCTCCCCCGTTTAGGAATATGGCACATGAAAGTTTACGTACGACGCACAACTGTACGTACGTATGTATATGTACAATTGTTACTTTCATTAATCACAAGTGATGTGATGTAAAAAAATATCATCCCTATTATTACCCTATTATTAACTAATTTATCCTATGTTTGAACATGAATTTTTTTTTTTTTTTCGCGAAAGACAGTTTCAAAAAATATAATTTTTTATGATAGTTTTTAATTTATTGATATTGCCAGTTTTATGTGATTCAATACTAAAAACAGTGTCGATTGACAGGTTTGGACAAAAAAAGGAATGTTAATAACTCAAAAAGAAGTTTTACTATAACATCTTAGTATTTTAATGTTTATGTGGTTTTTTTAGGCAATACAAAAGAAGTATAGACTATTCTTGTCGTCGGAGAAAATTAACTAAAAAAAAAAAACTTGGCTAAAAATAGCGAATGATTAAATGGCAGCGATTGGAGAAAAATATTTCTTTATGTGATCCGATCCAATCATAATAATCAATCATATTAATATTAGTGATATCGATATCTTGGGCGTTTCATTTATCACATGCATAATTCAAACAATTGGGATTATAATAGGATCAACTATCGCTATGATTAATTATGATGATTAATTATGATGTGAAACAGATACAAAAAGCAATCTAGCCGCACCAAATTCGAGCCACTTTATGCTATTTAACTATCGTGCGTACATACGTACCGCACGTACGTACGTTAAAAAGTAACACTCTCTTTGATCCCAAGTTTTTATTGTGGCGGTGAGATAAATAGTCAATTATCTCTTGAAACGTATCCAAAGAATTGCTATTGAATAATTTCATCAGTTTTCAATTTGATGAATTTTTTAATTTAACCCAGTTTTGATGATCCCATTGTTATTTATTCATGACTTAGCCTTGATCGAATTGTTAGAAAATCTTTTTGTAGATCATCAATGGTGTGACTGGGCATTGTTTCTCAGAAAAGAGAAATTCTATATACACAGCCAGATATTCGTAGATTTATGCTATACTAAGTAATATATACATATGGAAATTGTCTCCTTATTTAGTAACAAAAGAATAATGCAGCTAAGGCTGTGCGATTGTTTAATTATGTGGCTAAGGTAGATTGCGCAGTGGTTTTAACCAGATCGTTATAATCACCAAAAAATTATCTCGATCCTGACGCAAGAGTAAATAGAAAGTGAGAGACGATGGATAAACGAAAAAATGGATTTAAGTTGCGTTTTTTGATCTTATTTTTCAAAATTAGACTTTTAAATAATTGGATATATTTAGAACGAATTTTTGCGTTGACATTTATAATATCATTATTTGAATGTTTTTATTAGTTATTAATATTTAAAGTATTATTTTCGCATCGTCTTTAAACCTTTCCATTAGAAATTATATAATTTATGTTGGAATTAGAATATACTGTAAATTCAAAATTGCAAACCGCGAAGATCGAGTCTGAATCAGAATGATTCAATGTGATGAATACGCAGAAATTAATGTGACTATAGAAAATGCGGGTGTGACTATAGTGGAGACGTAAAAACAGTCCAAAAAGGCTTGCCTAGGAGTAAAGTTACGTCAAGTTAGTGTTTGAGTTATAGCAATACTAATTTCTTAAAAGAAACATTCTATTACGTAGAAGTCAGTTTCGTACCTTCCAAAGTGTCCGGAGTTTTGTAATTGCAGAATTCTCGGAAACGGAAGCACAGCTTATTGTTGGCTCAAAATAACCGATAATTGCCTTAACGTTAAGCGGAAAATTCCAACCTGCACAGTGCAGCCGAATAACATCAATAATGTTTGCTGATTCAGCTGCATAAATTCGTACAATAGTGTGTGCAGAAAACAGATAAACTGCAGAATTCATGACGTCCTAATACGTCAATCATTTTATGGCAAAATGATACGGATCATCAAAAAGTATCCTAGACTAAATATGTAACCATTCTCCAAAACGGAATGTTCCTATTCTTTAAGGAATCATCCAGAGCGACCATAAAAAGTGTAATGACATAAATTACGGCACAGCCATAGTATATATCGTTATTGGATTACGATTACAGTCACTATTTAAAAAAAAAATCTACAATATGCACTAGAAGAAAGCAATAAGTGGCATTAACTAATAATATACGTCACTGTACTTTTGATGGCCGTTGGCATGAATGAATGTTCAGTGTCCAAATTATCCAATCAAAAGCAATGGACATTGGATTGGACTTCTCGTGATTGGTTGATCGCGTAAAATTGAGGATGTTCTCAAACGCTTCACCCAACAGTCGGAGGCAACAATTTAATTAGCCAGAAATTGAACTAAACAAGTGAGTTATCATTTCGAGAATAAAATCTGGAGGTGCAGACTAAAATTTAGAATCAGCATTTCGCAAAATGAATCTAACAAGCTGTTCAATTGACTGCATTAACTGAATTAACCACAATTATTCGAGTAACACTTCGATCACTAGCTAATCACATTTGGAGAGCTGTTCGAGAACACTCTTAATCGACCAAGACGTAACTTTGCCAAGGTGTTAGTCAATCTGCTAGCAATACTAATTTTATCGCCCTGAAACCTTTACAAACAAAATTTACAAACTGGATTGGTTAGTAACGATAGTATTTGATTGGTCATTAATATCGGACATATTACCGGACATTGGAATTGTCCTATGCAATATTATCAATATTATCGGATATTGTTTAATCTCAACTTCAACTGCGCCTCATTGGATATTGGACATCACATAACGATAAGGCAACTTGGAAATGTCTGATGTCCGGTAAAAAAAAAAAACTACCGGATATATAACTTGCCCAACCCTGCTTTAAGACATAGTATGAATAACTATTCAAAATTGTCCTCGGGTACAAGTCCGCACTTTACAGTAACTTTGAAACTTGAAAGTTAATTTTATGTTTTAATATATTACAATAATATAAAAAACAATATGGTGAATTCGTATTACTAACTTTTATATGATTATATCATATGATTGCACAATGAATTGTTTATCTGCCCATTTGTTCATTGGGTATAAGTCTAAATCTTGTATGTGGCTAGAAATCCATAGGAAGGCTTTCGTATGATTGGCTGCTTAAGTCAATTTAATTTTATAGTATTTATACAGTTTAAAGTACTTTTTAAAAAACATCAAACTACGAAGAATAAATAAAAAAGGTTTATTAGGGTTGTAGGACTCCATCATTAAAAAAATAATCAAAATCATTTTTGGTTTTAGAGAAGTTAATATAATAGCGACTTCTTAAAGATAGATAGAATTAGGTTATTACCATGCTAACTTCTCTAAAACAAAAAGGGATTTTGATTATTTTTAATAGTGGAGTCCTACAACCCTAATAAAACTTTCTATATACTTCTTTTTTTGTTTTTTTTTAAAAAGTACTTTAAACTATAAATAATGTAAAATTAAATAGACTTAAACAGCCAATCATACGAAAGTCTTCCTATGGGCTAGAAATATTATATTTTGCGTTAATGTATAAATTTATAAATAAAACATATATTTAGATCAAATCGATCTAGATTTGTCAGATCAAATATTTGTATTATTATAAAATTTCATTTTCGTGAATCAGCATATTTTGTTTCAAAGTAATTCTCATGAGGTTCCTGAAATAAGTATTCCTTTTATTTATGGCGATTCATTTAAGAAAAATTATTAAAAAATTAGCATCATATATACTAGAAATTAACGATAACAACGACAAGATACAGCTTGCAATTAAAAAAAATCCATTGATATTGATATCAATATCTTTGAATATTGGTACTGAATAACACATGACTTTACTATAATGTGTATCCGTACAGTTAGGGATGAGCAATTATACGATACCGTATAATAAAAATGGTATAATAACCGTATAATTGGTATAGTATAATTAATAATAAAATATATACCATATAATTGGTATAATATTTTAATGTAACAAAGTTAACCAATAGAAATCTAGATGTAATTTTTCATAGGAATGAATGAGCACGTGACAACTCTATATGTACTTTCTAGGTATTATTGGAGATTGCTACGGGCTAGGGTTGCAATTATACCGGTATAATAAAAACTGGTGGTATAATACCATGTATAATACCGTATTATAGGGTGGTATAATTGGTATAAATACAGAATTACATATCCTAATATAGTTTTTAACCAATAATATTCATATATGCAGTATAGAATATATAGCATATAATTATTTTGAATATTTACTCATAACAATAATAAAGTTAAACATGTTTTTGTAGGCCTAGGCTAATAATTAGACTATAATCTAATAGGCTTTAAGATAATCTAATAGATTTAATACATATCTATTAAATCTTCTTGCAGAATTATACAGAATAAATTATCGTTAATTCGTGGTTCGCCTATGAACCAGTGAAAAGACATAATAAAAAGTGGGGAAATTTACTATTGTCTTTGGAATCTGGAGTTTCCCAAAGAAAAGATTTTTTCTTTACTAAGTAAACCTCTTTTCAATGCCTAAGTAAAGTTGTAAATGAGTGTCTTGCGATCAGAATGACGATTAAACCGTTAAAATCGGTCCAGTGGATCGCGAGATATAAGCATTTTAGTCTTCGCGACTATATGTTTTCTTCTTTATATAAATAAAGAAGAAAGCATATAGTCGCGAAGATTAAAATGCTTATATCTCGCGATCCACTGGA